CGAAATTAGAAAAATCCTCTTATAAACCTTTAACCGTTTTATAAATAAAGGGGAAGGTATTTAGACGGAAGAGAATCCGAATAGTAATTTCGCAAATAAGTATAATATTAAAGCCGGAGGTAGGCGCGCTTAACGAATTCGTAGAGTCGCTTATAGTTTAATACGGAGGTTTCAATAATAGAACGTTAATAGTATATTACATAAAGAGAAGGAAGTAAAGTATTGTAAATAACTAAGGCACGTAGTATAATAATAATAGAACGTAATAGTAAAAATAAAATTATTAATCTAGGGCATTTTCTAAGGGGGATTCTTAGCGAAGTATAACTAGGTCGTATACATAGCGTAACAGGGCTAGGACTAGGGAATTAGGAAAGGTTAATACTAATTCTAAAGTAAATTGAAGCGAAATAATAAGGAGGTCGTCGGGCCATTAATTTAGTAGAAAAGGTGCAATATACTATCACAATACCAACTAGGAAGAATTTAAAAAAGACGTAATATTGTATAAAGAGGAGAAGATTAGAAGAGAGTAGCGAAAATTCTACTCCTAAACTATATATATAAATTAAGTAGAGATTCGATAGAGCTAACTAAAGGACGGTTGGGTTATAGTAGCGGAATGCCGAGAGGGACGGGACTATATTATATAGTGCCGTGACAATAGGGATTTTACTATTCTTTATTAATTATAGCTATTACCTTCGGATAAGTATAGAATTCCGAACCCTGCTACCCCTAGATTTTTTACTAATTTAATTTAAAGAGTACTATAAAGTTAATAAATTAGTAGACCGCTTCTAAAGGATATAGGATTTCGTTATTTAATAGATCCGCTATATTTAAGAATAATACGAGGATAATATTAATAAAAAACGCGTCGATTCCCCTAAGTATTGTATTAACAATATAGTTCTTTTAAATACTATAAACCTTATTAATAGTCGATTATATACGAAGTTTTCCCCTTATTAGGAGGGTCCTTTTAAAATTGTCCGCACTAATTTATATATAATTTACCTCTCCCTACCCGCTAATATAAAATACTTATTTGTATTTTATATTTCTATAGTATAGTTTTAATTGGGTACGGGATTACCCGGTTAAAATACTATAATAGATATAAAGGCGAATAAGGGACGAATAATAATCCGAATAGATAATTAGGAGGAATATAAAGAATAGGCTTTTAAGAAATTTATTAATTGCGCCTAATTGGATAGTAATATATATTAGTACTATTATATTAAATAGAAGATTGGAGATTTTATTTAGGAACCTATTATTAACGTTATTGATTATAAATATTATTTTTAGTATTTCTATTACGAAAATCCGGATAAATTAGTACCGCTAGGAATTTAGAAAATCCTTTAGCGCTTCGCCTCTTTAATCGCCCCCGCTCTTATATTAGAACCCCTACGCCGCCGCTCTATATATTTTTAATAGGAAATAATTTCTACGATCGATGCGAGGCCTCTCCCGAGTATAATAATAATAGAATTAATTAATATAATAATTAGTAGAAATGTAGAAGATAAATTATATTTAGTATTTAGTAAAATTATATGAAGGTTAATAGATATTTAGTCTGGGAAATTGCTTTTAATATAGTTGGTGGATTACAATTATTTTTAAGATGGGATTTATTATAATATATATATATAGTTTTAGTTCTACGAACTTTTTTTGAGGGGGGATAGTATTATAAGGTTAGCTTGTAATGTGGTTATATTGTACGCCTCTAATTTAGAACTATTGACGGCTCTAGTTACGTGTAGCCCTACGCGTATATACGCGTACGGACTGGCTTAGATTGGGCTCTCGCCTATATAGCTAGTCTTCTACGCACACCTCCCTTCTCCTTCTTCGTACAATAACGTATATCCTACCCTACCTCTAACGGTGCCCGACTCGCCCCGTAATAAGGGAATATAATAATCCTCTCCTTCTTTCTTTTTAACCCTACTTAAAATCTAATAACTAGTATAATATTAAAAGTCATCAACCAAAACAACACAATCTCATTAATATTATACGTATTCTCTAATTTATACTCTTTAACCAAACGCTTAATAACTTCAATTTATTTATAAGATCCAATAATATCAACTAATCCAGCTTCACCAAACTACTTATACTTCTTAATATAGTAGCAACGTTTAAATCCGGTAAACCAACCACTCGAGAAACCGGGCTAGGGTAAAAGCCGGAAATCGGGCATTCTAAGCCATAAAATTTAGCTACTTCCTTAATTATATCGCCAAAAATAGACAGCCGGTTATTCTCTATACGAATAACCTATTCAAATAGAACCTTCTCGAATATAGGATACTCCACTAAATAAATTCGAAAGACACCGCTAACGCCCCTTATAAAAATCTTCTTATCCAAATAAACGAATTTAAATTTTAGGAATTCGGATATAATAAACTACCCAACGGGGTAGCCCAATTCTTTAGTAGCCCAAGCGGCGACCTCGCACTATATATACTTAGGGTTATCGCGAATAAAAGCACAAATCTTTTAACAATAAATCTCGTTAATAGCATACCGGCACTAGGATTTATAAAGCAGTATAGTATTAATACTTTAAAAGAGCGCTCGATTCTAGTTATAAAAGTAAATAAATAGTCTTAAACGATAAAGATTTGAGTAAATTGAATAGGATTAATTGTACTGGATTTCAGAAATCAGAAATAAGACACAACAGCTGGTAAGGGGATGACACTCCTATTAGGAGGTATTAAAGACTAGCAGGGGGTATCAGGGTGGCTAACAGAACTATCAAACAGGGGTAACTATAACAATATTAGTATATTACTAAGCAAGAATCTAATCTAAATCGTAATATAAAGGTTGATCGTTACTCCCATACTAATCTGCACCATTACCGTGATTTTGAGCGTTATGGCCAGAATATCGTTATATGGCTGATCGTTATGTGCAGGTTAAACAGTAAAGGAGATAAGGTAAGCAGCAACCTGAAGGGAAAACGTGGTCCACGTGGGGGGGCCTACGCGGCGGTTGTTGATCAGGAACTGTGCGGGGGAGTAAACGGGCCTAACCGCCGTTAGCTTCAGGGCAGCGCCACACTGTAGCTCAGTGTGGCTTGGCCTGGGTTCCTTCCCGTCTCATTCCCCAACTGCCACCACTTCCTCTTCCACCTTCACATTGAAAATGTCACCAGCCCTTCGTTCTTCGCCCATCCGCACTTATAATCGACTGGCTTCCAAGGCAGTTTCCCGGTGACTGACTGTTCATGTTACATATGCTAGATGGCTCAGCTCCCTGAATTATACTTCCATGTCCACCTCAGCTGTTTCGCTTACTCGGCCTAAGGTGCTGTGAGTACCTCTACGTCACCCCATACATTCTGCCAGACTGAGAGAGTCCATCAGGCTAACGACTTTTCTAGTCATTTGAGCTCGGGTGATGTCTGCCGGCAACGAGGCCCTCGCCTCACCCGACGTCTGTCTGCGCTCCATCTCCGACGTCCTGTCTGTCCTGTGGGTGGCTGAAGCGCATCCGACTGCATCTCACTGGCCCATGGGCTGTCGATACGTGCTTCAAAGGCTTCTGAGCATAGAAATCGTCTGAGCCATCTCATGCAAAGCCACATTTCGGACGTCTCCGAGTTAATGACTTGAGCTGGTGACATGTGTTCGGATGATGGAGAAACGAAAGGGCTGGCAACGCAGGGTTAAAGGTCTGCCAGTTGCATTAACAACCACATACATACGGCCAAACGCCCATGGCAGACTTCCAGCCCTGCGTTGCCGGACCGTTCCTCGTTTTCGAGCCGAGTTTTTTTCAGAGTTACACGCAAAACTCCGGTCTCGGGATTCGCCAGAATCCACCGGTGAGTCGAGCGAATCCAGCCTCGCAGACTGATCACCACCAAACCCAAACCAAAACCCTTCTAGGTTGCCTTCATGACATTGCCATTGTTTGAGGCTGACAGCCTTTGCCAGATCGCGAAACCGAGTTTTGATTCAAACAGCACATGTGACCAAAAGCTCCAGGCTACTCAACACCCGCGAGCTTCACTCGCCTGTGATGTGTATGCGACCTGACTAGCTTCGCCCCTGGGTCATGGTACAGCCTTCTCGTTCCCAGCGCCCACCATCTAAGCCTCAAGAGTGACCTTACACTTCGTCACCCTTGGAATCATTCTCACGAAAGAGTGCATGTCAAGAGTCACATATATTGCCCCCTATGCCCTCTCGATGGGCTTTCTCCTCGGATCAACCATTCGGTTTTTCACTCAGACGGACCAAAGGCTCCAACAAGCGTGCGACCTCTACTCTAGCACACAATGGCCAGGCGTCTGACTAATGTCGAGACTCGTTAGCGACTCGAACTAACACAGAGGTCGGCAGATGAAGGTCCAGATGTCGCGAGGTACATGGCCCTACGTGCACTTGGTTGCATGGCCTTGGAAACGAAACACTTCGGTAGTTACCCATCAGCCAAGCTCTCAATTTGGGAATACTAGGTATACCGTGCCAACGATCAGAGCGAGCTGTCTCTGAGTGCTGGTCTCTGCACATGTCCTTTCCAACATCACTTGAATGCTCGGGTCCGCCACGCATTGGTCGGACGTAGTGATTTTGAAGGCACCGGCCGTTCCTTCGTCGGGCTACGCAATTCATCAACTGTCCGCGCTAGAGCAAGTCATGGTTTGCGTAGTTTCGCGGCCGTCCTGGCCACCTCGCCTTATTATGACACATGATGCGCAGATCACGCACTGGTGAGAGTAGACTGCAGGAAACAACGACCCCCTGAGTCTTGCGGAAGCGATCTCGAGTTATATGGGCTAGTTATAAACAATCCATGGGTGTTGAGCTCACTGATCCTCATGTCTCGTCCCTGTTGGTATCCATGTTACCCGCCGGGTTTGTTATATGCCTGGTGATCCTCTCCCTACCCCAGGCCCTTCACCTTCAACCGACGCATCCGCCAGCAAAGCCACTATCCGCATTTCCTCACATTCCGGGATGAAGTCAGCGCTTGGTTGCGTGTTCAGTGCCCTTGCGGCGAGTGTGTCTTCCTCCTCTCTCCATGCTCTACGGCAAACACCACCACAACTCGACTACAACCTCCTTCCTCGGGCCGCATGTGACAACACAAACAAATCACGAAACTGCTGGGGAAACTACTCCATCGATACGAACTATTACGATGAAACGCCGGACACGGGAGTCACTCGCGAGTATTGGTTGTCGGTAGAGGAAGGAGATTGTGCGCCAGACGGCTACGCCCGCCAATGTCAAACGATCAATGGGACGGTCCCGGGTCCTACCATTTTTGCCGACTGGGGTGACAGTCTGATCATTCATGTTACCAACAACCTAAAGTCCAACGGCACAGGCATCCATTGGCATGGTCTTCGCCAATCTGGTAGCAACATCTACGATGGTGTTCCAGGAATCACTCAATGCGCCATTGCCATCGGGCAGTCCATGACTTACAGGTTCAAGGTTAGCCAGTACGGGTCAACCTGGTACCACAGTCACTTCAGTCTACAGTACGCGAACGGTGTTTTTGGTGGCATGATCTTCAACGGACCCGCGACTGCCAATTACGACGAGGACCTGGGCCATCTCTTTCTCTCCGACTGGTCCCATGTTGATGTATTTACTCGGTGGTTTGCCGCCCGGAATGGTCAGCCTCCAGCCCTGGAAAGTGGTCTCATCAACGGAACCAACAAATTCGACTGCAGTAACTCATCAACGGACCCGAATTGTACCGGACGTGGAGTCAAGTTGACAACTGTGGTTGAGAAGGGCAAGAAGTACCGTCTTCGTTTGGTCAATGCGGCTGTCGATGGTGTTTTCCAGTTCAGCATTGACAAGCACAAGTTGAAGGTTATCGCTGCTGATCTTGTTCCCATCAAGCCCTACAGCACCTCCAGCTTGAAACTCACAGAGGGCCAGCGGTACGATATCATCTTCCATGCCAACCAGGCAGTGGACAACTACTGGGTACGTGCTGGGTGGTTGAACGCTTGCCAGCCCAATGTAAACCCCGACAGCATCACCTCGGTCCTTCGATATAATGCCAGCAGCACGTTGGACCCGACCTCGGTCAGTGATGTCACCGTCAGCAGCGATTGCCTTGACGAACCTCTGGCATCGCTTGTCCCTCATCTCAAGATGGATGTCACCAATATCCAAAAGAGCTTTGACACGTACTTGAATATTTCAACGACAAATTACGTTCACTGGACCATCAACACAAGTAGTTTGCTCATCGACTGGAACAATCCGACCTTGAAACAAGTGTTTAACGGCGAGAGCCTGTTTCCGACCGACTACAACGTTCTCGCCATCAATGTAAGCTGCTTCCTCTTTTTCTTTTTTTCTTCCCATCTCTCCCTCCCTTCCATCAGACACACCCCCAACTAACCTATCCCCTCTTCTCCAAAGAAAACCACCACCGACAATGAATGGATCGTCCTCGTCATCCAAGACCAATCCAACCTCGGTCTCGAACACCCCATCCACCTACACGGCCACGACTTTTGGATCCTCGACCAATCCACCGGCACCTTTGACGCCGCCACCTCTCCGCAGAGCTTCAAGACCAAGAACCCCCCGCGTCGCGACGTCGCCGCCCTCCCCGGCAACGGCTACCTCGCCATCGCCTTCATGCCCGACAACCCCGGCGCGTGGCTCTGTCACTGCCACATTGCCTGGCACGCCAGCGAAGGGCTGAGCCTAGAGTTCCTCGAGCGCGAGGCGGACATCCAGGCGGACGTGAGCGATTCCGATCGGACGCAGTTCAATGACATTTGTCAGACTTGGTCGGATAACGTGGGCACGCAGGCTTTCCCGCAGGAGGATTCGGGGATTTGATAAATGGGAGGTTGGGGGAGGGGGGAATGGAAAAAATGAAAATGCGATACCTAGGTACCTGGCGGAGACCAGTCAGTCAGTCAGTCGATGGTTCTGAGTAAAATTATGATCAATCTTCCTTTTGTCTTTTTAATTTTTCTCTACAAGGTATCCAAACATAAGGGTTGCTGAGCTGCAACCGGAGGGGGCAAAAAGGGACTTGACTTGACTTGACTTAACTTGTGGCACCGTGGCCTGTCTTGTATCTGGCAAAGGCAGTTAGGGTAACGGACACTCAGTAGTACGAAAGGGTGTCTTACAATAATAAAAACAAGCTGTGGGATTTGGGTTCTGGGTAGCCGAACCCCAGCTGGGGTATGATATAATAGCGAGAGTGAACGGGTGGGTGATGGCTTGCAGTGGGTGTAGTGACAAACGGGACGGGGCAGGGCAGTAAAAGAGAGAAAACAAAAAAAAAATAAACAAAAACCAATAAAAATCATTACCTCGTGTATACCTATGTAGGTCGAAGTCTCAAAGGGGCAAAGAATGCTGGGCATAGGGTAAGATAGGTAGGGAGGGAATGGTGGGTGGTTTCTTTAGTGCATCATTTTTTTTCGGCGTTTTCTTTCTCTGTATACTGCCTTCCTTCAAGCTCAGCACATCATGGTAGTTTACTTATTATGGTAATAATGATTATGGGGGTCGACCGGCTTATGATTCGATATGTACATTCGGTTCTGGTCATCCTGGGGTTTTCGGAGCTGTTATGGTTGGGGTTGCTGGATTGGGTTGGGGACACACAACAAGAAAGCGTTTGTTGCTTGCAGAGGAAAAGAACATTATAGTCATGTTTCTTACCACCTTCGCTTTCACTTTTCGTTTCTCGCAGATGGGGTATACGCATGATATGATAAATACCTACTGTATTCATGGAAAATGAGGATGGGTGAGTTGTGGGCATACATCATACTACTACTCGTCAATGACGACCTTGATGAAGCCAGTCGGATACATATATAACCCTTGATCGAAATAATGGTTTGGAATAATCTGGTACACAGCAAGTGTTCCGTAGGAAACAGACTCCTGCAATTTAACCTACTGAGGGTCGTAGGATATCCGAAGATCTTAGAAGATGCCCGCTGCAAAGTAGAATAGGGGCTTCAGCCGAAGGGTGGACAACAGCAAACGGAAAGCGGATAAGCGAGGGAGAAGAGGCCAGAGCAGGATCACTTGCTCTAAACTCTATAGACAGAATTTGGACAAACCACATTCACATACGACCATACCCACTGGAAAACTCGGGATCCCGTCCGCTCTCCCATAGATAAGCCAGTGAGGGCCAGACTAGTAGTTGGGTCGGTGACGACCAGCGAATCCCTGGTGTTGTATGTTTTTTCGACTTTTTCATGTCTTTTTCTTTTTTATTTTTTCCTCTTGAAAGTTGTCTTTCATGAAAAGCAATAAGAGAATAACACGGGAAAGGACAAGAGAAAGAGTTGTGCCTACGGAATAAGTAAGACTTGGTATTGGTCGTGCTGGTGATATGGACGTGGACGGGGAGGAAAATCTTCCGAACCAAATCAAATGTATGCTTGAGGGCCTGGGTCGAAGGGTCCCGAACGTTCGGAGGCTGAAATGCCGTCGGTCGGTACGTGATGCGAGATGCGTTCAAGGGCGAAAGGTCAGCTACGGAGGAAAGGTTGATGATGTACGACGGGCGCATGGAAGACTGGAAGGATATCTTTCAGAAAGAGCATGTATATTGGCAAATGCGCTGAAAGCAATACAAGCACAGTAAGAAACATAATACACATCCGCTACAACCCAGCTGGTTCATAGTACTCCTTAAACCGATCCGATTCCTCCAGGTCAAGATCCGCAATCACTTCCCAGCATTTGATCAGAAGGTTGGGAAAGCGTGTCGTAAAGAAACCGAGGTATCCTTCCGGCAATGGCCCGACCATCTTCCTAAGCTGGGGAGTAAGGTCCTCGTAGTGGTTCTTCTTGTTGCGTAGCGCCCGCAGGAGATCAAGCATACGATTGCCTGTGTACTTGCGCTGTTTGCCCAGTGATTCAACAAACTCCCTGGGCAAGGCCTTGAGGAAATCACCGTTGGTAATCACGCAAGAACTCTGCTCCTCTAGCAACGCAAGTGCTGGCGAAGGAGGATCACGAGGTTCCTTTTCAAAGTGATCCGAAACGTCGCAAAGGAAATTGAGGCGCTTCCTGGGACTCCAAAAGAAGGGATGAGCCATGACCCCAATCGCAGTCGGCCGTTTCTTGGGGTTGCTGTTCAGCATGCTCTCAATGAGATCTTTGGCATCATGAGCGTAGTCGCCGAGGACTTCAAGGAGTTGCAAGTCATATTTGCCTTTGCGAATGTTCGACTCGCGCATATACCGATCACCGAGGTCAAAGGGGTGATGTCCCTTGGTGAGGACATAGAAGAAGACCAAACCAAGAGAAAAGATGTCGATCGCTCGGGTGACGCGGCGCACATTGACACCAGCTCCTACAACTCCAGAACCTGTACCGGAAGCACTGTGCATGCTGGAACCAGGGTCGGTAAAAGTCATCGTGGCACCTGGTCCAGGGCCTCCATCGTCGTCAAGCAACAGTTCCGGGGCACGCCAGCCTGTTGTACCAGCCGCGTGGGCGGTAGTAGCGCCAAACGACGACTGTCCACCTTCCAGCTTCTTGCAAAGGCCAAAGTCAGAAACGAGAATGCGCGGGCGACCATCTTTACCCATGTTGACAAGGATGTTCTGGGGCTTGAGGTCACGATGAACGATCCGAAGACTGTGCAGATGGCTCAATCCCTTGGCGACCTGGTACAAAACTCCCGGCATGTCGCGCTCACCCGCCTGAGCAAGTTCACGGAACATACTGGGCCGCTGGATGACATCTGCGAGGGAGGCCTGGCAGAGTTCGAGAGCAATGTAAAGGAATCCGGCAGACTGTTGTTGAGCAAAATACCGGATGACTGCGACAGTTAGTAAGGGTGACATGACCGATCAAGTTCACATGCTGATACCACTCACCGTTCGGATGATCGTCACTCTCTCTCAGCAACTTGGTTTCCTGGCTGGCAATCTCATTGAATTGGACCAGCATGCGCTTCACGGCAACATCACGTCCATCCCACTTTCCGGCGAAAACGATGGTACCGTTGCTTCCTATGCCGAGCTGTTGCTCCTGGTTGACCTCCAGACTACCCATCTTCAGAATAGGACCAGAGACATTATCGACACCATTTGGAATGGTTATGACGTCTGGCTCCAAGTTTGGCTGTTGACCGATCTCTTGAGCCTTTTTGACGACTTCGTCCACAGTGGGCTCAGGGGGTTCGTCATCACGGGACTGGGTGTTCTCATTTCTAGGACCCTTTCGGTGCTTGATACCGCCGCGGCGACCTCTGTGAGCCTTCCTCTTCGGCTTGACAACTTCAGCAGGAGCGTCATTTGTATCACCGGGCGGTGGCGTCTCAGATGATTTAGGAAGGTCGGCAAACGTCACTTCCTTCTTTGCCAGCCCTTCATCTGAGCCAGAATCCCCGGCGGATGAGTCTGCCAAGGAGGGATCGGGCTTACTGCTTTCCTCCTTAGCGGCCTCCAAGCGCGGCGTGATATCAGTCACGGTTGGTGTCGGCTCTGTACGAACAACGTGAATCCTAAAGCGCGTAAGGTCCACAACCTTCCTCTCGAGCGTTCTCATAAAATCCAGGAAACATTCCAAGGAGTAGCCTTTCTTGGATGACTGAGGTATCCAGGCCCTTGTCCACACGGCAATGACAACCACAATTCCAACCAGAAGAGTAAAGGGGTTGAGGAAAAAGTCAGAGGCTTGCACAGGCAGTGCCGTAGCAGTATCCGGTGCTGGTAGGCCGGGCAGTGCCCCTGCTGACGAAGGAACCGTGGGGTTACCAGTAATAACGGCGTCTCCGGCGGGAGGAGGAGGCGCATCTAAAAGTGGCACTAGGCGGTTGATTTCCTTGGGGATTCGCCAGTCAGGCAGATCATGAGTGCCGACGAGTGCTTCGGACAATTTGTCCTCGTTCAAACCTTCCAGCGGCCAAAACTTGTGGATGGGGGCAGGTGGGGCATGGAGGATGAGGGGATACTGGGTTCCCGAAAGAGCATACCAACTACCCTCCTCAGTATGGTTGACGAAAACCTTTGCGCTGCGAAGGCGTGAAATTGCGGGATTCACAGGGAACAGAGGCTGGGGAAGGATAATCAAGTCGGTGTCGCTGCTGCCGGTCGGATTCCACTGACGACGCAGGACATCAAAGACGCGAGCAACAGGGGAAGTGAGCTGGTGGGAGAAGAGCGGCCGGTCACCATTCTCCCGATCAAGGCCAAAGCCAAAGAAGGTTCCGTCTGGTTTGCCAGTGATATAGCGCTTGTCTGGTGTAGCTGAATGTTGCTGGCCCAAGTCGCCGTCCAACACATTGGGGGCCCACTCGGAATACTTGAGGGATGCAATGGGGCTGCCGTCGGTGCGATACACACCAACAATGTATTCGGTACGGCCGAGGGTGATGGTTTCTCTGTTGCTGCACTCGCTGGTGATGCTGTTTCCAAGGGCGTATTCTCTAAGACATCGCTCGGACTCGACCTTGTTGATGTTGACACCTCTGGGGCCCAAGTTCTTGATCATGGCACCGGTCGCGGCGTTGAGAGTCACCATGTTGGTCCTCTTCTCGCCCGTGTAAACGATCCCGTTCATGTGGAGGCCGCTGTAGGTTTCAACCAGCTGTTTCATGGTCATAGTCATTTTGGTCAGCTGGGGACCCGAGTCGCTCGGTCTCCAAATGTACATCTCGCCGTCCCTTGTGGGCTCCACTATCCAGATCCAGTGATCCATCTCGTGGAAGTCCTCATCGACGGGGGAGCGAGAGGTTCGGAAGTGCCGAGTTTCCACCATGGGGTGGTCGGCCTTGAAGTGCCAGCGCACCTCGCCACGAACGCGGTCGGTGGCATACAGATCTCCGTCAACGGTCGCCAGAAGCACAAAGTCTTCCACTTCCCAGTCCTCCAAGCTCCGCGCAATCTGATGCTGCGAGAGCTCGGCCCCCAAGGAGCCGACCTTGTTGGATTGGGTCAGAGGTGCTCGAACGGACGAGTCCGGAGCAAGAGCGTTGGCGCGCGCATTGTTAGAAATCAAGTCGGCGTGGTTATTGTTATTGGTGTTGTCGGATTGGGCATGGTAGCTCAATCGGATAGATTCGGTTTTGGGCCCGTCGGCGATCTCGACTACGGTCCGCTTGCCACGGCCGTGAGTTCGGGGCGTCTCGATGACGGGTTGGGGGCGACCTCCTGTCAGGGTAGACAAGGTAGCAATGTTGGGGACGGCATGATCGTCGTCCTCGCGGGGAGACCTCGCATGACGCTGCGGCTGAGCATCAACGAGTTGGAGCCATTGCAAGTTAACTAGGAGGAAAGCGAACGCCAGGAGGACTTCGGGCCGGCAAGCGACGTGGCCGGACGGCCGTCGCAACATCTTGGGGACAACAATGCGGATACTGATAGTGGTAAGGCCGAAGCAGACCTAGGAGTACATCCAAGGCAAGGACTGCCTATAGTCTTTGATGGTGTTTTTTTTTTGTTTTTTTTTCTTTTTCTTCTGGTGTGTGTGCGCGCGTAGAAATATGCAAGTCGCGGGGTGTGTTTCGGTGCGTGGAAGCCGTCGGTCGGTCGTGTTGGGGGGTGCGGTCTAGATATGTAGAGGCAGGCGGTGTCGGGTGGTTGCCGTGGAGTCCGTATGCGTGCGGGCGTCTGCTGGGCTGCGTGTGTTTGGTGGGTAGAGTCTAGATAAATACTAATACCGGGTAGAGCTACCTCTAAGTATGTATTGCTTGTGGATGTTGGTTCCCTTTGGCGGAGTCGAGTTTGGTTAGGTTCCGTTGTGCGGTCTTGGCGCGGTCCAGAGCTCAGACCAAGTGTGGGTTTGTTTTGGCGGTGGGAAGACTTGGGGAAGAAGAGAAGGAAGAGATGGTGAAAGGCCAATGGAGGAAAGGGTGGCAGATGGATTTGTATGGAAGCAGCTGGATTCCGGCCCCTTTGTTTATGTGCGAGTGTGTGGCTTGTAGAAATCGGGTGGAAGGGAAGGGTTGCATGCAGTACAGGACATCCGATCATGTAGTACCTTTTGGCGTGTTTTATGCTAGCGAGATACTTCTGGCCGCGGCGATGGGGCGGGTGAAAGGGAGAGAGGGGGTGGCTGAATAGCTGGCCGTTGAATAAGTAACTGAAATCACCCCATGCTTATAACGGAACAGATGGATGATGGATGGAATGGCTCCGATATAAAAAGCGACAATTCAACCACCATCTCCAACTTGACTCCCCACAATCACGTTCCGACTGCAGTGCCTCAAAGTTCGCTCCCGGTGCTGCCTGTGCCCTGATTACGTAGCGCAAACGACGACTTGGTTGTAAGGGAGTCCTGGATAGCGAGCCATGTGTCCGGGCAATCCGTGGATCCCTCGGTGCCTTTCCTTCGCCAGGGGACCCCTTCGAACCCCCCATCCAGCCTACGATTGAGACCCCATCTCGGATCGGCCCCAGCTATTGAAAACAATATCAGTTGATTGATTGATTGATTACGATAACGAGGTCCATCGTCTGTCTGGACTCGTTATTCCGCGCACGTATTACATCCACAGGGCGTCATAAGCGGCACTCAGCAATAGGGTACACGATAACCAAGTTTCTCGAGGCTTCAGAGGTAACGAAGATACCTACTAAACGGCTGACCCGCAACCTCCCGTTTCGAAAATCACCGACGGCTGGCTAGACAGAGCATCAAGATGCGCCATGTATCACACTCCTGAGGATACTGACGTTACTGCTCGTATCCGCACATTGCCCTATGTAGCAGATCTTGTTTCTCTCTCAACCATAGAAAGCAGAGAATCAAACGATGCATGACCATTGCTGAAAATTCGTGCTCGATACCTAGAACTAGTTTTGCAACTCCTGTCAACGACAAAGAGGGCGGGATGGTGGGATGAAACGTCATTGCCCTGCCCTTGACGGAGGAGTGGTCCGGCGTACCTACAGCTGAGGCCTGGGACCACAGCGAGAGGATTCGAGCTACATCTACTACCTAAAAAGGGACAGAAATCACTGCAAAGACGGGACACTGACCGCCCGAACCCCCAACTGAAGTTCCCAAACCGCCGGTCCTCCGTTTTTGAGTTGCGTAAGCCGGGCACTCGGCACCTTTCCCACCTTACAACTGAATCCCAGAAAATGTATCAGGTATCATGATTGACTTCAAAGACAACACACTTTGCACGTGGGTGTGTCAGATCTTTTTGCTTTTGAGTATTATTAAGCTACCTCTAGCCCGGTTTTCTGTATTTTCTTATTCCATCACCCACATATTTCAGTCCCGTCAACAGTTCGTCCAAGCACCGTGACCCGACGCAGCGGGTAAGTAACAAGCACTGCAAGAACTAGGTCGGACGGTGCCCGAGCTTCGACGGGAACGGGAGGAGCGGGAAACGGCTGAGGAAGAAAAAAAACGGGGAAACGGCTCCACAGGGAGGTTCTTTGAAAACGACCGGGCTAGATCCGGGGACGTCGAACCCCTCGCTCTCAGACCCTCTCAACCCTTTTTCGAGTTTTGGACGGTTCGTCGACTTCTGACAGAATGTACATAGGTTCTAGGGCAAAGGCCCGGCCGGCCACCTGGGAGGGGGAGGCTACTTGTTCAACGAATCATGATCCTTCTTTTTCTTCCACTTCCGACGAGACAAGGGACGAGTCGTCATCACGAAACCTCAAGCTCAAGCCCTTGCTTGCCCTTGCTCTTGGCTTGAGTTGCTAACTTGCAACTGCTGAGACAGTGACCCCTAGTGACAGTTTGATGATTTTGTAGGTGTGGGCTGTTGATCCTCACCATAACCGTTCACTCACTCTTCACCTGGGTTATTCTTTGTGTGTTTGGCAGCCAGATATCATCATCATACCTAGCTAGATACCGTTGGGTATGTACACACACACAATGATATGTAATCTTGCAAAACTCGGAGCCATGCTCCAGTTTGGTCGTCCACTCTCTATCGAACACGCATATCAGCGACGTTCTGCAGGTTTTAGTCTTATATGTAGCCCCGTCGAAGAATGGGAAGCGGGTCATGTCTCATGCACATGGATGTTTACCTACCTACACCTCCTTTTTTTTCTTTCGGCCTTCAGCCTTCAGAAACTGGGCCAAGCACTTGGAACTTTACCTGTCTGTGTGCATATCAGAGAATTGTTGAGATGCAAGACAATGAATGACCAACCAACCAACCAACCAAACTACCCAAACACACACAAAGGTGAAGAAAAAAAAGCATGACTGTGAACCAATGTAGGTAGTCCCAATGACGTGACCTTTGCTTTGCTTTACTTTGCTTTTGCTTTGCTTTGGCCCGCCCATATGCTTACCAAAGTCGGAGAAACTCTTTCTTTTTTTTTTTTTTTTTTTTTTTTTTTTTTTTTTTTTTTTTTTTTTTTTCCGACTTGCCAGTTCGATTCCGAGACCGCTCTTCCATCACAAACATTGCATCAAGCATCAAGCAGAAGCAGAAGCAGTCACAAACACATGCATACCTACCTAGAGCATATACATATCATATGCTTGTTAGTAGGTAGTTACCCCACTTGACGTATTGTACCTACTTTTCATATCGCATTCATCCCATCTCCATTCATTCATCCCACCCCGCGTCTCAGTCTTGCGCTTTTCTTTCTTCTTGTCTTGCCAGTATTCTATCATCCAATACCACCAGGCAACACTCCACATCATTAACATTCATATCTCCCTAGAACGGGGAACATTTTCCATCTGATCCATCTGATCCATCTGATCCATCTGATCTGATCTGATTTCGACCACACTCTCTACGTTCCTTGTCCCGATGATGAACGAAAATGTCTACATACAAGTATAGATGCACCATAACCTGACATTCACCCCTATCCGTTTCCCCATATTCCCCTTCCCGTCTTCCGAAACGAAAACAAAAACCTCAAATCATGGCTGATATCCCGTCCCCAAAACTCCCACACATGCCACCGACATGCCACATACTACACATACCCGTCAACAACCATCACATAATCGAAGCATGACTCCTGCGGATCTTGAATTCTATAGGGTATCTATCGGTGTAAACAGAGCGCAACGCAACGCAACGGAGTGGCTCGGGCTAGGCAGCCAAAATTTAAAAGACCTCTGCTTACAGTATTTGGGGAACATACCACACATATCAATCACTATTAGCGACAGTGACGTTGTGTGACTTGACTCGATGCCCGGAGGGTGGGTGGTACATAGTTCAAGAAAGACAGCTGTCAAGTTCTTCTCCTCTCTCTCTCTCTCGTTCCCTACACTACCTACCTACCTACCTACCTACCTACCTACTTACGTACCTACATGGGCAGACAGACAGCGAGACGCGCGTATTGCATACGTATGACTGACTGGCTGTCACCCCGTCATTAAACTCGTTCCTGCATTTGTGTTATCGTAGATCATCCTCTCACTTCAGTTCTTGGTAACAACTCGGTAACCATTTCGCGACGAAAGAAGAAAAAGAAAAAAAAAAAAAAAAGAAAAAAAAAATTCCGGGGTACATCGTCGTCGGTACTATGCGGCAAAATGATTTCGTCCGCTACATGGACCCCCGCTATGAATGGTTCTTCTTTGTTTCAAAGCTACCTATCGATGTAGGCCCTGGTTTTTTGAAGACCTCCTCTGCTTCCTATATGTCACGTCTTCCTCCAGAGTGTATGTGGTCTCAGTCTTTTAAATATCTCCGATCGATACTTTGGACATCGCTTTGCTATCGGGAGTATGTATGCCTCAACCTTGGATGCATCCTCCCACTACATAGCCACCCATTCACTACCAACATTCATATCTTATCCTTCCTAAGCTTAGGAACTTAACCCCACTGCACCAAAACCTGCTTCTTCTGCTTCTTCTTACCCTTCCCACCACCAGCGCCGTCCGCATCGCCTTCACCACCAGCCGGTTGAGCCGAAGACGAGCCTGACGCACCGCCGCTTCCGCTTCCAGCGCTCCAGTTAAATCCCGTCTCCTTGGGCTGACCAAAGTCTCTCCGTACCGCACCTCTGCCGTACCCGAACAGAGTAGTGGTAGGCTTGGGCGCCGCAGGAAGTGCCGGGAAGGCGTCCTCGTTTCCGGGCTTCTGCATACTGCCACTGCCACCAGCGACCTTCCTGGCGATGGTGGTCGCCGTGCTGCCGCTGCTTCGCGAAGCAGAAGGGGCAGCGACAGGAGCGGGACGAGATGATGAGGACCCACCGGCTGCGGCCGCAGTAAAGCCTGACAAGCCTGATGTGGTGGCGGGCTTCTTGGCTCCAGGAAGAGCAGGGAACGCCGCCGAGTTGTTCACGGTGGAACGTACCTGGGCGGCGTAGGCGTTGGTACCGGGCACGAGTCTGCTCGAGCTGCTGCTACTCGATCCGCCGGCCTGGAGAGAGGCGACAGTTCGCTCCAGGCCACGCTCGCTAGCGCCACCTATTCTGGTGCTGTTCTTGAGCTTCAACACGTGGTTGGAATGTCGTGACTGGGCGTTTGCTAGACCTCCGTTGGAGTGTAAAGTAACTGGGGTCGCCGATGCGGCGGCCGCCCATCCGCTGCTTGCTGTTGTAGCTCCGTGCATACCACCAAGGCCAGGAAGACTGGGGTAGTCCTCGTTGATGGTGCGGTGGTTTTGCCATGCTCGGTTGAGGGATGCGCCCTTGTTCTTGTCATCGAAGAGCTCAGCAACCTCGCGTACTAGAGTACCTAGCGCATTGGATGAGGTCTCGGAGAAGAGGGCGAAGAAGGCATCGATCAGCTGGTCAGCAGTCATCGACCCCTTGTTGAAATTCGAGATATAAGATCGAAACTGGTTGATCTTGGTGGCGTCGTTGCCAAGGAGGTTCGAAGCACGTTCAATCACCGCACCGTGCCGCGTAAGACTAGCGCGCTGCTCAGGAGTAAGAGACGAGAGTTCGGAAACGCTAAGGTTTTGCATGGCATCAATAATAGGCTGTTGCTGTTGCTGTTGCTGTTGCTGTTGCTGCTGCTCCCGTTGCTGTTGGGGTCTGGACGGTCGTGACTGAACCACAGATGTCTGTCCGGCTGGACGAGTGCCGGAAGAAGGACCCGCGCTCGGACGAGCAGAGGATGCTGACTGAGCAATAGCCATTTGCCGCTGGAAAGCAAGCTCGTCTCTTCGTAGAGGCTGAGCAGTACTGACGGGCAACGCCTCGGCATTAGGATCCCGACCGCGTGCGCCTCGTCCGTCTCTTCCCCCGCGACCTCTGCCGCCACTGCTGCTGCCGCCACGCTCCTCCTGGTATGAAGACCTAAAGTCGAAGCCAGAGATATCGACCACGCGTGCGTCTCTCCTTACGTCCTTGGACAACGAGTTTCCGTGCTCGCTAAGCTGGTGAGCCTTCAGATCCAGCTCGCTGTCAAAAACGACAAACTTCTTTTCCAGACATTCCCGTTCCTGGCAAATATAATGATCCTGCTTGAAATGCTCCTCCAAAGCATCGTAGTTCCTGTAGTAATGCGGTTGGCGAGAGTCGCGCCGGTCACAAATGAAGCATCTCTCATGCTTGCTGCGGCAATGTTCGTAAAGCTTGTCGTTATCATAGAATCTTTCGCCGCAGAAGCCGCAGAGCGGATGTCCCTTAAATCCAGTCTGGTCAACAGCACCAGGCTTATCGTCGCCGCGGCTCATGTGGTCGCGTAGCTCCTTATCGGTAAACATTTCGTGCTCGTGCGTGAAGACCTTCTTGTTCCTCGTACACAGGTCACAAAGCTTCTTGTGGTGAACAGAGCGCACATGGCGATGCAGATCGGGCCAACCAAGACCGGCAAAATCACACTCTCCGCCGGGGCAGTTGTACCGCAGGAGAAGGACAGTATCCCCAACAATGTGCTCGCCCGCGTACTTGATCCCGATGTTGTCATCCGTACTTGTGATCTCCTTGCTCGTGTACTCTTCAAAGCGTTTGTTGGGGTCGTCGGTAAAGATAACGAAGGGAGCGGCAGTCTGGACGTTTACGCATGTCAGCAGCTACCCAAACCAAACGGGACCTAGTGTGTCTCGAATGACTATACTCACTCGGCAATGCGGGCAATCCTTGTTCTTATAAAGTGCCCTGAGTCGCAGGGCGCAGAGATGGCATGTCGAATGGCCGCAAGGCGCAACAGAGTGGTGGGTGATGGGGTTGGCACAGATAAAGCAGACCTCGGCGTCGTCGTCGTCTTGTGCTTCCTGCTGCTGTTGTGTCTTCCACTGGGTGGGGTTGCTGTCGCCGGATGAGCTGTCCTGCGCAGGTGTAGGTGCCGCACCCTGTTGTCCTCCACCTCTGCTCTTTCCACGGCCAGCGCCACCGCGACCAGCACCGTCACCACCACCCCGACTGCGGTTGCCTCGAGCTGCTCCGCGTCCTCGGCCTCTGCCCCGGTTGCTGTCGCCTCTAGGTCCCTGAGGGGTTGCTTGCTCCGCTGAAGACATGATTTCGAAAGATTTCGACCGATTCAATAAAATAAAAAAAACTCGTCACTGCTACCGTGTTGTGGTGATGGTGTGCTTAGAAATGGCTCGCTATTGGAAACTCGTTGGTATGAAGGGGGCTCTAGAATTTTTGCAGTCTTCGTGGGGGGAAGAGGCTTGCGAGATACTGTGAGAGGAAGAACAAATCCCTTTCACTGTTTTTGAATAGGGATGATGTAACGATTGGGAGACAGTTGGGCCAGCTTGGGTCGGTAGCAGAGAGAAGGGCCGGAATGATTGAATTGGAAGTGTTGACGTTGATGGTGGGGTCCGGGAGCTTCCAGCATTTATTCGCTTACCTAGCAAACCGCCGTGGCCCGATAATTTTTTTGTAGGGCCTCCCCTCAAGTGCCGCCCCGGGCAAACCAAAACTCGTGCAAATTGCCGGGGAGTGCGACTCCGTCATCATCACAGGCGCGTACACAGTACCCCGAGAAAGCCAACATCCATGGCTCCCGTCGCGTTGCCTCCACGATGGTCGGTTCGTACCGGATACCAATCCTACCAGAAAACAAACAGTGGCTGGGCAGGGGTAGTTAGCGCATAGTATCTGTTTGGCGATCTTCAGGTCCATGACGGAGTGGCTCAGCTTCGATGGCATTGGCCGATTCGATCGAGACTACACTGCTCGGCAACGAGCGTCGGGGAGTCACTCCCCGGATTTGCATTATCTGGCCTCTCGCACGGAGAATGAATCATTCTGATTTATACCGTAAATGTAATGGCGGTGCCGACATTTTGCTGGATACGGCGAATCTTTCTTGGCATGCTTGACTATGGCGACCGTATAGGGGCAATTAGTACATAACATACCCTGTAGTCCCCTTTTTAAAGTGACTAGCTATCGGCTTCAGCCTTATGGTGATGTTGGAAGTGCATGTGAGAAGGACTGCTGTATTTCTCATGTACGGACACAAAGGAGAAAGATCGCTGACGTCTCGCCATGCCTGTTTTCCCGTTCCCTATGGTAGGTCACCATGATACCAAACACCACCATAAAATGCTAAGGGATGAGCTGATGAGCATATGCACCTCCATTCTCCAGAAAGAAAGTTTGACATCAGAACGAGCAGCCCTACCCAGCCGTCGACTGCCGGTGATAAGGATGACTCAAACTCGGTCACCGTTCTTCCTATTCCTACTTGTCGGTTGAGTGCACGCTATAAGCGAGGCACGTTAACCTAACCGACGAGTAGCCCTTCCGACCTACTCATAACCTGTGTCTGCCTCCAAATTGGTATGACTGGGGTAAGAGAAACCCCCCTTGCGCCCCTGAGATAGTCTCAAAGACAAACCCAGCAAATAGAAAAACCCGAGAAAATGCGCTATCCCTTTCATACACCTCTCTCCTATCAACCCTCAAACCATGAAAACGAGACGTACTGTGGTATACTAGTAGTTCCGAAGCCCCAGAGATTTTCCAATGACGCCATGCACGCCCAGCCTACCGCCTAGCCCCCAATGACCCAATACCAACGGGAGGAGCCCTTTCATCCCAGATCAGAACGTGGAATTCTACTCTTCAATCGGATACAGCTGGTTGCCGAGGAGCTTGTTCATTTGGAACATGTTGATTGAGCTCTGCTTGAATACCGCCTGAAGTTTTTCGTCGCAAATAATCTGTCTCTTGTCGCTGGGATCCTGCAACTCGTTCGCTTTGATATGCTCCCAGAGTTTCTTGACTACCTGTGGGCGTGAGAGCTGTGATGGGGTTAGTTTTCTGTTCACGGCCTATTGGACAATGACCACCAACCTGAGCTTCTCCGCAAACTTCCTGGAGAGGGTAACTTAGGTTGAAGGGCTTCTGGAAACCGCCACCGGCCTTGCGCTTCTTGGTCCCTTCCACCTCTTCGGGCTCCATGTCACTATCGTCGTCGGACTTGACCCGTGTTGCGCTCTTCTTCTTTGGTGTCTTGGCCTTGGGTTTGGACTTCTTGGTCACCTTGGCTGCGCCTCCACCTCGTGTTCGGGGTCCGCGAGAGAGCTTATTCTCCTGCGCTTGGAGTTCGGCAGCCAAGCGAGCGTCGGCATCCTCTGAGCTCTCGCGCTTTTGTTGCTTCTTAGGCCGGACCTCGATCTCGCCATCGGTAGCAGCGTCATCTTCGTCGCTATCAGGAGTCGCCTCGGGAGTCGCCTCTTCGGGTGTTGGCTCTTGGGCAGCCTTGCGTGCTTGCGCGGCGTCGAATCGGGCTTCTATCAAGCCTTTGATGGCATGCTATACGGAGTCCAGAACTATCAGCAGCTGATCGAACAACCGAAACCGGGGAGAGTGCTAGGAGAGCATTGGGGTTTCAAATAGAAGCAGCAAGCCAATGCAGCAGACAAGGCGGGCTTTAGCACTGACCTTTTGGTCACTTAGATCCTTGTTTATGGCCGCTTCCATTTTCTGCCGAATGGCCTTGCGAGAAATTGTATCGAGGTCGGCAGTTTCGAGAATTTCATCGATGACGCGGGCGTAGGTCGCCTCCTCCTCGGGAGTAACTAGACCGAGTTAGCATAGTTCCATTCGGTAGGGGAGACAAGCTTGGGCAATATTCCTACATTGCGCGGACATGTTGCCGGTGGTGTAGCACAATACACCCACTGACGGGAGAAATTGGGGATGATTGGGTGTGGTGTTCTAAACCGAAGCTGGGCTGGCAGATGATGTAAGGGCTGGTAGCTTCAGTGGATGGAATAGCTTCCGCCCTGACGAGATGTTCGGGTAGGAATAATTCTTGGGTGAAGGAAAGTAAACAGCTGCGATTGACAGGTCGCCGACTGTGGCCTAGTTAAACAAAGCAGGAAGTTTGCGGGCGCGACAGCTGACTTTGTTTCAACGCGACAACAGAATGGCCGTTCTTTGCTGTCCGAATTTGGACTTGAAAGACAGAATGCGTATGGGCCGCGGTTTGAACAGCTGGGGGGTCAGGACGCTCAAGATACCGGACAAGAGGCGCAAAGCAGCAGCTTAGGTTTGTCGCTCAAGTAGGGGCGCTTGGAGCAAAAGCCGGTGAAGACGATGATACGCTACGAGATGGTCGCGAAAAGGGAAAGGATGAGTGACCGATCAATGATGGCGGGATGATCGAATCATCCAAGACACGACAGAATTGGGTCAAACCTTGGGTGTTGGAGCTGGAGGGAAGAAGAAAAAAAGAAATACAAAAAAAAAAAAAAGAAAAAAAAAAAAAGACCACGTCCTGCCGGCTCAATTGTGTCGAGTATGCCGGGTGCCCTGATGTGACAGGTATAGAGTAGGGATGCTGCGATGCGATGCGGTTGTGTGATGCCTGCGATCGCGTACGGTGGAGAGAAGGTGTTGAGTTGAGCCTCGAGACGTGTAGGCGCACAAGCAGCGAATTGCAGATTCAGCAGTTTCTTCTTCTGATGCAGATGGCCAGCCCAAGCATGGAAGCGCACGATGACCTCAGGTACCTGAACAAGTTCTGCAGTGGAGTTCTAGCTGAGAGATGCGATTCCTTTACCGTGACATTGCCGTCGCGGTCTTCTGTTCAGTTCATTGCAGGCAGTGTCTTGCGGCGGCGTCCGGGAGTCTCAGTCCAGTGAGGTCGGTCGCGGTGTTGGTGGTCCACGGTCCGCCAACTGTCCGCCAAAACCGGAAGAAGTGAGGCTGCTTTGTGGCTGATTTGCGACGGTGATTGGTTCCACACTTAGCTTCAAGGACCCCACCTACGGTTCCGTCTGCCGTCCCGGCTCGTCTGAGATGGAAGGAAAGTGGGGTGGTGTTCAGAGCGGCGATCCCATTTCTAGCCAATCAGCAGACTGAATTGCCCACCACTTGCTCTCAGGGCAGTTCACGCTGCCGCAAATCTCCACGCCGGTGGCCGATGGCCGGAATGCAGGCAGCCACGTGATGCGGAAGCCAGTGTTCAATGCCGCCGGAGGACCCTTCGTCTCACAACTCCCAAGACTTTCCTCTTTCGTCCAACTTACACAATGGAGGGAGAGTCGACTTGATCATGTTCACTCTACGTAACAATGTCGATCTGGATGGCACCATGGGATGATAGGGACGAGAGATGCTATGGAACCCCTTCTCCGACGTGATTTGGTCTACCTAGCCTTTGTATCTCCCTCGTCCATTGCTGTTTTGGACGATTCATGGTCAGTTGTGGGAAGAGAATCCGAAGGGAATCCCACTTGCCAACCCCGGGCATCCGTCTATTCAAGTCGGTTAACCCACCACGCCTATCCACTCTCTTGGGATGAATATCGACGTCACCCACCACCTTTGCTCAGTTGGCACTCGACAATCCGCATCAACCACATTAGGCATATCGCAAAGTTTACGCCAAGAATAAGAAAGAGCATCGTTGCCAAGTGGCCCGTCGTACGCGACAGGCTCCAAGATGTAAGGTAGACTGGAATGTTAGATGGCCAAGTCTAGATGCAGGGACGAGTGTTGATTCAGAACTCCAATACCGAGTTGAATGAGTATGATATGCTGGAACATCCCCAGTTCAGTGCGGCGTGGGATATCTAAAACAACGTCTTGCGTTGAGGAAGGAGGGTGGGGAGAGACAAGAGAAAGCTCTCCTGGAACTCTTCGCAGAGCGTGGACGGTGATGCAGTGATATATCCGTGTATCTATAAGCAAAGCTGCAAACACAAGGACTCTCCTGTTAGGGAGGAAGAGGTCAGGAACGAGTGGCATTCTAGACAAGTTCATCTCAGCTGGAAACCCTTTCCACCCATGTACTACTTGAGGACTTTTAGCCAGTCTTTTCTCGCCTGATGCGACACGAGCCTCATGTCCTACTTACTATGAGAATGGGCGTGGATAGCCACCATTTCGGGACCGAGCCTGGTCGCCAATGAGATGCCAAACAACCCGAGCAAGAAGAAACGGAAGGAAGACTTGTCTGCGTCCTTGTAGAAAGTGTTTCCATCTCCCTCACCCGAAATCCCGGATTGGTACATTCGAGCTGACATTGTCATTACAGTATATCGTGCAAGACTGGATCCGCGCGCTCGTCTAACGTGCCGTTCCTTCATCACAAAACTCTATCAATACTCGAGCATATTTTGCGGTGAATCTTCGCACAACATAGCCATGTTTCACATACAGTTCCTCCAGTCGGTGTCAAGGACAATTCATCCACCATTTGACTACATGGCCCGTATGCATCCAAATTACACAAGAAGACCGGAATCAATTCTAGAAGACAAGGATTTCCACGATTTACGCGGCTTCAGGCGACTGAACAATGCTGTGTTTCCGGACTCCCGAATTCATTAGCGGATTACCCCACGGCACGACGGACTCAAGGCGAAGCGTAGTATTTCAAGGGAAGAGAACAATTGGTAGTCTTGTTCGTGACTACTACTACGGCGCAGCAATCTGCCTTCCGTTCGGTGACGAGGTCTTGATGAAGCTCCGGGCTGGGCCTCCTCCATGCCGGTCCCCGGAATCATCCCGTCGTCCCGATTCGGTCTTCATCATGTCCCGCTCTCCGCCAAACCAAAGGTTTCGAACCTTCCCCATTATACCAAAGCAGCCAAGCAATTCGCAGTACCTGTAAGTGAGTAGCATTTGTTGTCTAAGACAGTTCGTTGCAGCTGTTTCCTTGGTCCGGGACTTCGGTCACCGGTGACAATTGTTACAGATTGTCCGACATACACAACGACGGGAACGACGACGGTTTTCCAAGCCTCACACTTACAACTGGAAGGAGTGCTCCAGTCATGGTCAGAAATGGCTCTCGAGTAAAGCAACGAAATATATAAATCCCCACGATGCTCCCATCCCAAGTACCTAGGCTTGCCCATCTTCTCTAGCAGGCAAAGCACAGAATTATAGGAACAATCCCACCAACCTAAAGCTATACCCCCAAGTACAACTCACTACTAGCTATCATCATGTCCACCGCCGCCGCAATCCCCATCGCTTCCTTCGGCAACAACCCCGAGGTCGCTCAAGCCATTCGCGAAAAGCTCCTTCCAGGATATGACGGTCCGTCCATCCCCATCCCCATCCCCATTCCCTTTCCACCACGTCCACACTATCAATCATTTTCACTATCCACTGAACCATTCCCCATCCATCTCAGCCTCCAGTAGTACACATACTTCCACCTCCTTCTTACCTAGTTTCTCTCAAACTAACCTCCCGTTTCCCCCATAAAATATAGTCGTCCACACAACCCTCACCCTCTCCACCTCCCTCTCGGAACTTCCCCCTCTCTGCACCGGCACCTTCTCCCACCTCCCCTCGTCGAACCTCGGCTCCAACGCCACGGCCGCCACCCCAGCCGACCTCAAGGTGCCCAAGGCCATCATCTTCGGCGGCGGCGTGTCCCCTTCGGACGCCGAGCAAGTCAAAGAAGCGGTGCTGGCCAAGAACCCAGACATCAAGTTCGTCCAACTCACGCGGGAGGATATGGTCGCCGCGGGGGCCGAGGGGCCGGATCCCGAGGTGATTGGACGCTTGTTGAAGGAGAGATTGGCCGAGGCTTTGGCTTGAAGCTTCGTTGGAAAACAACTGAACCTACTTGCATTCGTGTTTGGTGTGGTTCGGGATGGGGCTTGCTAGTATGCTGGAGATAATGAAAGAGGATGGAATGCTCTTCAGTGGGAGTTTTTCTTACAAAGTGGATAGGTGACTAGGTCAGATTGGGATGAAGTATTTAAAGAGGGGGGAGGTCGAATGGAGGATTAGAGGGGAGTTTCCTACCAGAAGCTGTAGAAAGTGTGTTCCTAACGTTGACAATCATGAGAATATGACACTCCTTCCCTGATGTATCGTCGAATAACGTTGAATGAGGTAATGTCGGTATGCATCTGAATGGACGATTGGTGGATCTCACTCCGTCACAGAACAAGATAGAATATTACGTACACGATGAAAGGCTGGCTAGTCGAGTTAGGCGGCAGACATGAGATGGCGTGGTTATTAGTTTTAGGTCTCTGCTATATCAGTTGTGGCATCATTTGGCGCACGGCATGACATCGTGGTCTGACATCAACAAGAATCAAAGGTCGGGCTAGTATTGGGACGGCGAGACCACACACCATCAAGCATTCAGCACTGCTATGCTCAAGGTCATTTACATAGTCTGCTCTCCATCAACTCTCCTTGTCCATCAAAAAATACGAGTTTAGTGCCTCTCCCGCCTCCTGGGGGCCGCTCTTATTATGTCGTCCACACGCAGAAGCAACTGTTCACGGTGGTTAGCAAGCTTGGGACCGTATCGATCAAAGAAAAGGGGTTACATACCTCAGCGGCTTCACTAGCCGAAGAAACGACAGCCTTCTTGAGCTTGTAACTTTCAATAACACCCAAGTCTCTCATATCGGCGATACCGCCTCCTGGTGTCATAAGATCCAAACCATAGGTGGTCAGACCGTCATAGATGGCCTTGCGCAAACGGGCAACAAGGTCACCAGAATCCAGACCAGCGTTGTCGGCCAGGATGGTAGGCAGTTGCCTGAGAGCAGTGGCGAAGGCAGACACAGCGGTCTGTTTCTTGCCCTCGACCCGAGTAGCAGCACCCTCAACAGCCTTAGCCATAACCATCTCAGCGCATCCACCACCCAATGTTGTCCTGGACTCCTTAACGGTCTGTGAAAGAACGGCAAGAGCGTCGTGCAAACTTCTCTCGGCTTCGTCAAGCAACTGATCGGTAGCACCGCGGAGAACGACAGTGCAGGCCTGGCCGGCAGCCGTGCCGGAGAATCTGATAAGGGTATCCTCGCCAATAATAATCTCCTCAATCAAGTCGGCATATCCCAGCTTGACCTGCTCCGGGTGGTCGAAGGTAGAAGCGATTTCACCGCCGGTGACGAGAGCAAGGCGCTCAATGCCATCGAAATCGGCATGCTCGATCGACATGATGCCGGCATCGGTGAACAACTGCTCGGGCCAGTTGTAAATCAACTGCCTGTTGATGAAGCAGTTGATGCCGTGCGCCTTGATCTTCTCAACCTTGGCCTTCATCTTCTCCTTCTCGGCCTTCTCGAGCTCAGCGAGCTTGCTGGTAGAGTTGACCTTGACGCGCGCACCAAAGATCTTGACCTTGTCGGTATCCATCGATGTGTTGGCGATAAGGATCTTGGCCTTCTCGAGGCGCTTGGGCTGGTTGACACCGATCTTCTTGTCGAGAATAAAGCCATCGTCGAGGTATGATTCGCTGAGCTTGCCACCGGACTTCTTGATGATCTGGATGTGGCTAAGGTCGGCGGAACCCTTCAGGCGCAGAATGGCCTCGGTCGCGAGCTCGGCAAAGTGGTCTCTGTCTTGGGCAAGAATCTTGGAGCTGAGTGTCGTGCGCGCGATGGCGACAAGGTCTTTCCTGAACGCCTCGGGGTTGCTGCTGTGGTCAACGGCAGAGTCCTCGAGGGCCTTGAGCGCAGCCTGGCTAGCTATCCGGTAACCCTCGATGATAGTCTGAGGATGGATCTTCTTGTCGACAAGCTTCTCGGCCTCGCGCAAGAGCTCGGCGGCAAGGACGGCAACCGAGGTGGTGCCATCACCGACTTCGTCGTCCTGGACCTTGGAGATGTTTACGAGGACCTTGGCCGCGGCGTTGTCGAGAGCGATAGACTTGAGGATGGTAGCACCGTCGTTTGTTACTAGAATCTCACCGGTCGAGCTGGATGTTGTGATGGTGCGGTCAGCACATGACGGCGGCGTGTCAAGCATGCAGGCGGGGGGTTCGGTAAACAAGCATACGCAGACTGGAGGATCTTGTCCATGCCCTTGGGACCAAGGGTGCTCTTGACGAGGTCGCCAACAGCAATGGCGCCGACGAAGGCGCTGAGACGGGCATTCTCTCCCTTCTCTTCTGTGGTGCCCTCCTCGAAGATCTGGGTGGGGCTAAACGAGGCCTGGAGATGGTCGGGCGTGTGGTTAGTTTACGGTGAGCTCGGAAAGATGCCCAAAGTGGTGTACAAATCAACTTGCCATGATGTAGAAGAAGCTTAAGTATTAAACAAAAGGTCGGGGTTACGGGGTGCACAGGGGGTTGAGGTTGGAAGAGAAGAAGCGGAAGCAATTGAAGCTTGGTAGTACTATATTTTGGGTGGACGTTATGGATACCCTGAACGCGAAGCCTCCTTTCTACAACAATCTGCCAGCAGCGGGACGGATGATGCTCTTCTGAATTCCAGGCACTTTTTGGACGGCAGGCCACGGCAAAATTCCAGAGCTCCTGTTCCTCCTTTACCTCACCGCCTGCGACAGGTGGCATAAAATGCTTGTCACTCGCATGCCAGGCCGTTTGCCCCTCCTTTGACAGACAAAATGTCCACTTGAGGTGGGCAGCAGGGGACCCCACTTGGACGTCTTCCGTGGGGAAGGAAGAAAGGGGGGGGGGAGGGGAGCTTTGGGCTGGCAGCGGCGGCGGCGGTGGATAGTGGTGGACAGCGCAGCCAGCACTTTGAGAAGGAGCCCAGCCCAGGGGACTGCCGTCGAGGCTCAAAGCCAAACTGAAGGGAACCTGAATCGGTGCAGCCTGAAGTCCACTTCTTGACTTCAAAGTGATGGCAACTTGAAACCTGTGAACTCTGCTGAAAGCGGACAGACGTTGGCCATGGTCAATATTTGTTCCGTGCACAAACGAACAATGCTTAGCCCACTGCCTGCCACCATTATCTTGTGTGAAAAAGAAAAGAGACCAAAAAGTTTTGAGTTGATGAAGAACAGAGACAGCATCGAGAACTTGACTTTCCCAGGCTGAGTGCTCATTGCAACTGTGCAATATCCATGATATCTGAGGCTCCTTCAGCCTCCAAATTATCCACCACATCCCATCACGGACATAAATTCCCATTTTGGCGATTCCAGAGAGAGGGGATCTGGTAGGATAGCCAATCACCGTGCATCATTGCTTTTTAAAGTGGGGCCTTTCCTTCACTGTCTTCCCTGGTTCTCTGGCCGTTCTCACTGAACCCCACCACAATCTGCGCGCTGCGCACAAATTCTCACAATAATCCTGACGACCGCATAAGCCAGCACGTTGTTCCGCCCGCGGCATCGCAGAAAAAATCCGAAGCGGCCAGCCCAGAATCCCGTCATCCACCAAGTCCAACCACCACCACCAGAGGCGCCTTCCCGACCCGTACATCGCCAGCTACTACTAATTCCCGGCACCCACCAAGCAAGCGTAACAGATTGCCGATTAATTGCCCAGCATGGCGCCCTCTTTCGACCACCTCCGCGACGAGGACCTCGACGAGGATGACTTCGACGTTGATGAGGTCGACATTTCCGATATCCGCGAGAAGTACGAGGTTCAGCTTGAGCAGGGCTACGATGCCTTTGTCGTTGTCGATGGCCTCCCCGAGGTCAACGAGGAGCAAAAACCCAAGCTCGTCAAGTTCTTGTTGAAGAAGCTCAACACTGTTGGCAAGACCCGGGAGGACCTCATCTTCATGCCCATGGGCGAGGATGGAAAGTCGCTGAGGTATGCAACACAGCCGCCGCCTTCAAAATGATGCGCATCTACAGACCGGCTATCCATCGCTGCGCCCGGACCGCGATGTGTCTCTATGCTGTGCATGTTGGCTCCCCAACGACCAGGCCACTGATATGAATTCTGTAGGTTCGCCTTTGTCGAGTACTCGTCGCCCGCCGAGGCCGCTGCCGCCTGCAGACAGCTCGACCTCGTCCCTCTCGACAAGAAGCACACCCTCCGCGTCAACAAGCTTACCGATGTCGACCGCTATGGTCGCGAGGGCCGTATCGATGACGAGTACACTCCTCCCAAGATCGAGGAGTTCCAGGAGAAGGAGCACCTCCGCTCCTTCATGGCCGACCCCAGCGGCCGCGGCAGAGATCAGTTTGTCATGTTCAGGGGAGAGTCCGTTGGTGTTTTCTGGAACAACGAGAAGGATACGCCCGAGAATGTTGTCGACCGTCAACACTGGACCGAGACCTTTGTGCAGTGGTCGCCCCTCGGTACCTACCTCACCTCCGTTCACGCCCAGGGTGTTCAGCTTTGGGGTGGTCCCTCGTGGACCAGGCAGAGGCGCTTTGCCCATCCTTTTGTCAACCTTGTCGCCTTCTCTCCCAACGAAAAGTACCTTGTCACCTGGTCCAACAGGCCGATTTCGATTCCCGAGGAGGGTCACCCCGCTCTTTCTGTAGAAGACGACGGCAAGAACTACGTTATCTGGGATATCGAGACCTCCAAGCCCCTTCGTTCTTTCGCCCAGCTCGACACCCCCGCCGCCGCCGAGGGCGAGGCTCCCAAGAAGGCCCCCAAGTTCCCCTGGCCCGCCTTCAAGTGGTCTGCCGATGACAAGTACGTCGCCAGGCTGAACCCCGGCCAGTCTATTTCCGTCTACGAGCTTCCGAGGATGAACTTGTTGGACAAGACCGCCATCAAGATCGAGGGCGTTGTGGACTTCGACTGGGCTCCCGCCACCGTGCAGCGCGACGGTGTCAAGTCCTACGAGCAACTTTTCTGCTTCTGGACCCCTGAGATTGGCAGCAACCCCGCCAGAGTCGGCTTGATGAGCATCCCCTCCAAGCAGGTTGTCAGGTCACTGAACCTCTTCAGCGTCTCGGATGCCAAGCTCCACTGGCAGTCCGAG